TCACGTGACCGATGGTGGCTTCTCTCATTCTCTCTATGTTCAGATCTTTGTGTTCCGTACCAACTCCTCTCATCCCGTCGTGGTTCAGGCCCATGTGGCTGACGGCGGCGTCTCTCTTCCTCCCTAGGTTCAGGCTCACGTGTCTCATAGCACCTGCTTTCATCCCCTCGTGGTTCAGGTTCACCTAGTTGATGGCGGCGTCTGTCACTCTCTCTAGGTTTAGGCTCACGTATTTCATAGTGACCCCCCTCATCCCCGCGCGGTTCAGGCTCACGTGGCTGACGGCGGCTTCGTTCAGTCTCTCTAGTTTCAGGCTCCCATGTTTCGTAATATCCTTTCTCCGTCCCTGGCGGTTTAGGCTGATCGCGACTCCCCTCAGCCCTTCCTGCTTCCGGCTCCTGGCGCCGCTCCCCACTCAGTCCCGTCTCTGTTCTTTGCGGGAGATGTTGTTTTGGCTGCAGGTACCAGTAACAAACCTTCGCCACTCTAAATACCAGAAGCAGGAATTCATTGAAATCTTCAACCCCATCGCCATCATGATCCAGAAGTTGCAGTACTGCCTCTATGGTGTGAGCATCGTAGGGGTTCTGTAGGAAAACCAAACCCAGGGGAATCTGTATTAATCTTGCTGGCCCTTCCCAGTTACACATGCAAAGGCAGATGTGGTTCAATCCTCCCTTTGTCCACCTCCCTACGGCTTTTCCCTTCTGTTCAGCAGCTCCCTCATGCCAATCCTCTGTGCTCCATCCTGCTGGTCCTTCTCTGGAGGGCAGCTCATCGGCTGGTTGGTTCCCTTCCCTTTGAGAGACACCACATCCTCTCCTGGAGCTTATTGTCCTCCACCTGTCCCTGATGAAGAATCCCACCTCAACCCCGCTTCTTTCCTCTGCTTGTCTCCTTAACTCCTTCCCATCCCTGGAACACTCCTTCCCATAGTCCATCCCCCAGCCATAAACGCCGACTCCGTGGGTGCTCCGGGGCTGGAGCACCCACAGGGAAAAAATGGTGGGTGCTCAGCACCCACCAGCAGCCCCCCTATCAGAACCTCTCTCCCCCCAGCAACTCCCACCTGCCGCAATCAGCTGTTTTGTGGGGTGCAGGAGGCTTTTGGGGGGAGGGGAGAGGAGCGAGGACATGGCGTGCTCGGGGGAGGGGGCAGAACGGGGCAGGAAGAGGCGGGGCAGGGGTGGGAAGAGGCAGGGTGGGGTGGGGCCTTGGGGAAGGGATGGAGCGGGGGCGGGGTCTCGGGCGGAGCCGGGAGTCAAGCAACCCCTGGCACTTTGGAAAGTCGGCACCTGTGCCTCCAGCCTCCTTCAGTATTTGTGTTCAGTATTCATCCAGCCCCGGATAGCCCCGATTCAGCCTTTGTATGAATCCACAGCATGTGGATTCATTTCTCCCTTCCAGACTGAATCTCTCACGGACTAAGAGTCGCAGGATACATTTTTCGCTGGGCGGGGGCTTGAGCCGGCTTTGTGTTGTATTGTTGAAAAGGAAGGCCCCAGATTCTGAACCCGGCCCTTGTTGCTGCCAACTCGGGCTGGCTGAAGGGTTACAGACATATATGACGTTTCAGATTGGAATTGAGAATCCAGTTGGTATGACGACCTGTCTTACAAAGCTGTGTGGGCAAGGTCTATGTTCAAGGACAATCATGCCACTTAGCTTAGCAGTAAAGCTGGTGGGTAAATTTTCCACAATTTTTTTTGGTGGGGGGGTGGGGTTGGAAAAATGCCTCCATGTCAAAACTGAAACATTTCACAGAACCACGTCAGTTTGGGTGAAATTTTTTGCTGGAGGGTTTCTTGGGTCCAGGATGGAATTTCTGTTCAGAATCTGAAAGAGCGACCCACCCTGGAATAGCCAATGAGTCCAAGGTTAGGGTTCCTTCCTGGAACCACGAAGACCCACGTCCCTGTTCTGAGTCCTGTAGAATAGGGATTTGAACCTGGGTGTCCTACGGTGGTTAGAGCAGATGGTCTCTCTCACTTAGTCTTTCACTTTTTTTTGGATAGGTCTTGGTTTTGTTCCGCACGGGAATGGAAACAGATGTTGAAACATCAGCATTTTTCAAGAAACAGAAATGTTGTTTTCCGGCCACACAAGGATGAAAGTGTGATGCAGGCTGGGGAAGTAAAAAAGGTCAGTCTTCAAAACAGCCTTTGTGGGTTCAACTTGCACCTGCCAAATGGCCTCTTGGGGCTTGTTCCCCCTCTTGCCCCTTGTTTGTATCTGCCTTTATGTAATTACGGGTGCAAGTTGCTAGATTTGCACCCTCAAATCAGTTGCAGGAGCAAACAAATGCAGATGCATATTTTTACATGTGCCTTTTTCCCTGCAAAAGGGAGCTGCCCCCCTTTGAAAAGATGACCCAGAGAATGTAATTGTCCTTGGCATTGCTGAGTCTCCACCATAACCCCCATACGACCCGCCCCGGACGAGAGCCATCCCGTTCTGCTGCCATACTGCTTGCCACAATCGGTACCGCAGCAGAAAGAAGCGTCTGCAGCTGCCGTCCCCGGTCTCTGAAGCAACAAGTTCTATACTCAACCCACATCCAGGCTCCCCTTTCTGGCCGTGCTCACCACTGTGATGTCAGCAAACTCCCTCTGGATGAACCTTTTCACCTCTCTCTTGCTGATGGTGGAGCAGTCCTCGTCTTTCTTCCCACGATCGTAGAAGACGCTGATGATGGTGGAGATGCTGTCCAGGAGCTGAGACATCTTCCTGTAGATTCAAGCAAGCCTGAAAGGAAAGATCAGCGCTAAGCTCAGGATACATTTTCCCTGGGTGGCCCTTCCTCTGAGCATGGACGGATGGGGAGAATTCCCAGTGACTTCAGTGGGCTTTGGATCAGGCCCACAATGCGCAGGTAAGGGGCACTATTCTCCCAGCGTAACCTGTGGGATATGACCAGATCCCCTTGACTTCAGTGGCACCTGGTTTGTGAATACACAACGCAGGCATTTAAACGCCAACAGTTGCTAGCAGGGACATCTGAAAGCGTCAGTCTCTTCTGATCGCTGACATATTGGTCACACTTTAACCCGGCAAGGGTGCATTTGTGGAGAGCTTACAGAGCATTAATAAATGATTAAGTATTACAAGACTTGAGCAGTAGGTGTCACAGGGTGTTGGAGATGCTTATAAGCCATGGTTGTAGTCAATCCACTAACCTGTTGGAGTTTATAATAATCTACAGCAATCGATTGATCATTTATGGAAACATCAACTCATTCTGTAGTCACAGATTCGTAGATTTTAAGGCCAGAAGGAACCATTGGCTCATCTGGTCTGATTTTCATCCAGTTGCTCCTGTGTTGAACCCAATCACTTGTGTTTTATCCCTTTGTAAACTCTCTCTGTACATGGACCCTTCACGTAATGTGTGACAAGCGTGTTTCTAGTGCAAATGCAGGACCGGCTCCAGGGCTTTTGCCGCGATCGCAATTGTGATCGGCGGCACTCCGGCGGCAGCTCCACCGCGCCGCTTTCTTCTCCGGTGGGAATTCGGTAGCAGGTGCTTCCCTCCCAGAGGGATCCGCCGCCGAATTGCCGCCGAACAGCCGGATGTGCCGCCCCTTCCCCTTGGCCGCCCCAAGCACCTGCTTGCTGCGCTGGTGCCTGGAGCCGGCCTTGTGCAAATGAACCTATCGGGGGGTTGGTTCCCGTGAAACGGGACAGGATCCTGAGGGTACGTCTTCACTGCAATTAAACACCTGCAGCTGCCTGGCTGTGGGGCTGTAGCCCCGTAGCCATTCGGGCTTGGGTTGGGGCTGAGCCCTGAGACCCTGTGAGGGGGAAGAGTCCCAGACCCGGGGCTCCAGCCCAAGCCTGAAAGTCTGCAATTTTTCAGTCCCGCAAGCTCCAGTCAGCTGACCCAGGCCAGCGGCAGGTGTTCAGTTGCAGTGTAGACATACCCGTGGTTACTAAACAGGAACAGCAAGGAGATTGAGAACAGCGCTTTGCTAGCACTCTTCCTCCGAGGATCCCAACACGCTGCACTTCGCCAGGAGGAAGCGAAGTATTATCAGGGTGTGGGAGACTCAGCGCTTTCCATTTGCAGGGCTTCTGGGGGCAGAAAACTTCTCCACCCTGGTGGGGTTTCTGCTGCTGCTGCAGCTCTGAGCCGCAGGGCCGGCTTTAGGCCGATTCAGCCGATTCGGCTGAATTGGGCCCCGTGC